GTGTGTGTGTGGGTGTGTGTGTGTGTGTGTGCATGCTGTGCTCGTGTGCAAGGGGCCGGGAAGGGGAGGGCGGCGTGCGTGCGTGTGCCCGCGAGGGCTGCTGCCGGGGTGTGCGTGTCTGCGTGCGACTGTGGGGCCCCTGCGGCCTGGGCGTCGGCTGAGCTGACGCTGGGGCTTCCAGAAGGCCGGGGGCCCCGAGCTGCCGGTTATAGGAGTTGCAAGGGGACACGGGGAGGGGGTCTCGGGCAGGGGGGCCGGGAGGGCCTGCCCAGAAGTCACTTTGGCAGCAGCTGTCTAAAGGGCTCGGGGCTCTGGGGGGCGGCAGAGGCGGGCGGGCCCCCCTGTAAATACGGCCCCAGGGTGGTCAGAGGGTCCCTCGCCACCTGTCCCCTTGTGACCTCCCCCTTTGACCTCCAGCTGACTATGCATGCCAGCTGAGTGGCCGGCTGAGCCCCGGGCCCTCTTGGAGTCTGCCTCCCCCACCCCCTCCCCATCAATAAAACTGTTTACAACCACCGGCCCCCAAGGCTCCGGGTCTGCTCTGTCCCCTGGGGTGGGACCTGGACGGTGGCGTGGCCCAGGGCAATTGGGACCACCCGGGAGACTCACCGCTGGGTCACAGCAGTGAACAGAATTCTGGGGAGCTGGTATGGAAATATGGAAAGAAAGCTGGGAGTAGGTCCCTGTCTTCATCTGGATGGGGCCAGGCCACCCGATTGGCCCTTCAGCCAATATTCATTGTGCATCTACTGTGCGCCGCGCACTGTATGGACCCCCGTCCTCGTGTTGTTCAGAGCCTGGTGGGGGAGACCGAGCACACACAAGCACATTAGGACTTGATTTGAGGCAGCGATGTATAATGAAGAAAAAGCCAGATAATGTGCTAGGTAGGGGTGACTGTGTGGTGTGTGTGGGGGCGACTGGTGAAGGAGGGCCTGCTGGAAGACGTGGACATTTGAGCTGAGACGGGATGAGTGAGAAGGAGCAGCCGTGGGGAGATGTGCAGAGAGAGCGGTCCAGGCAGAGGGAACAGCCAGTGCTAAGGCCCTGAGGTGGGCGCAAGCTGGGAGGAGGGGTGAGGCGGCCGGTGTGGCTGGAGCAGCGTGAGTGAGCGGGGAGGCGGTGGAGGTGAGGAGAGAGAGGAGGACAGGGCCTCAGGCAGGCAGAGCCTCGAAGGTAAGGAGTATGAATCTTTTTATTGTAAAATACTTAACTACACATAAATTCCAATGTACCATTTGAACCATTTTTCAGTGCACAGCTCAGTGGCAAGAAGTCCATTCACATGGTCGTAAAACCGTCCCCACCATCCATCTCCAGAACTTTTCCATCTTCCTAAACTGACACTCTGTCCCCGTGAAATACCAACTCCCCATTCCTTCCTACCCTCAGCCTCATGAATTTTAAGTGGGACAGGGAGCCAGCAGAGGGTTTTAAGCAGGGGACGTGATCTGATTGCCTTTCAAGCAATGGCTATAATTGTGTCATTACAATTCACATCCCTTCTTCCAGCCTACGTCGATTATGCTCCTACTGTGTGCTGGGCTCTGGGGACAGGGCAGTGAACAAGACAGAGCCGGTGCCCCCTTGTTACGGGGACACTGATTTAAAAAACAAAAATACACAAAACACTACGATGGCATCTATCAGCTCCTCCCACCCCCGGGTCTGTTTTTTCAACCTGATTGAAATAGATTTGACATGTAACATTGTGTAAGTTTCAGGGGTACAATGTGATGACTTGATAGATGTATGTATTGCAAAAACCATTACCACAATAAGGTTAGTTAACACATCCATCACTCACATAGTTACCTGTGTGTGTGTGGGTG